AAACTGGGGATGTGTAATTTGGAGAAGAGACCTTATTGCTCTCTACAACTACCTGAAAGGAGGCTGTAGGGAGGTGGGTGTTGGCCTCTGCTCCCAAGTAAGTAACAACAGGACTAGAGGAAATGGCCTGAAGTGGCACCAGGGGAGGTTTAGACTTGGTATTAGGAAGGATTTCTTAACCATAACAGTGGTCAGGCAGTGGAAGGGGCTGCCCAAGGGGGTGGTTGAGTTGCTATCCTTGGAGATATCATAAAGATGTGTAGATGTGGCAGTTTAGGACATGCTGGAGTGGGCAGGGTGGTTTTATCTGGGCTGACAGTCAGACTCTGCTCTGAGAGGTCTTTTCCAACCATGTCAATTCTGTGATTGAGCTACCAGGTAACAAGACCAGGGCCAAGTAGAGCAAGGCCAGTGCAGGGTGCTAGTGCTCCTGACAGGCTGAATTCCTGGTGCAGGGCCATGGTGCTGACCAGAGATCATCTCTGCCCTCAGCCCTGCATGGCTGCCAGCACAGCCAGATGGCAGGAGAGAGGGGAGCATGGTGGCCTGTCACCACCTGGTGGCACCAGCACAAAGTGACTGAACAACCTCCTCCCCTGCTGAGGCTTCACTGGGCACACACAGCCCCAAAAGGCCATTTCACCTGAGAGAGACAGGGGAGAGGAACAGGTCCTGCAACCAGGGCTTCAGGAGAGGAGATGAGATGGCAGGTCACAGCAAGAGCCAGGGGCTGTGACTTCCCACAGGATGGATACTCCTGGGTCACCTCTGCTGGCACCTGTAGCCACAGCACCTCAGTTTCAGGGGGGGTGAAGCACTGAGAGCCTGTAATCCCCCCCCTTTGGGACCATCATCCTGTGTCCTGGCTCTGCAGCCATTTGTGTCCCTTCAGCAGAGCTGAGCTTTCCCTCCTTCCTGCTGGCTGGATTGAGTGTCCCCCAGCTCTGAGGAACAGGCAGGTCCCCCAGAGAAGGCCACCTGAAAGCAAAGCAGTGACTTGCCCTGGAAATGAAGTGTTTATTATGGCCAAGCAGAGGGACAAGGGTGGGAGGGAGGAGACTTCACTGCAAAAGGTACCTTGGAGACAGGGAGCTGTGGGGAGCCAGAGGAGACCCTCATGTAAGAGCAAGACACTCTCTTCTCCCCAGGTGTTACCAAGGCAAGATCCTGCTCTTACAAGGTCTGTCAACCTCAGGACCACCCTCCCAGCTAGTCCCAGATGTGGTCATCAACCCCACCCTGAGACACAAGAACAGTTTCTACAACAACAGCCCCCCACCCCCCTCCCCAAGAAAAGGCTGCCACGAGTGGGCAGGGCTCCCACAGGACAGTGTTATTGCTCAGTGTGACAGGTGGTCAAACACAGGAACTTAAGGCAACAGGAATAAGTGCACTAGGTGGGCCCCTGACCCATGCACAGCACAGCCAGGCCCCACCTCAGCTCATTGTCCCAGACAGTCCTCAGTGACACCCTGAGCAGCCAGCTCTGCCAGCACATTGTCCAGATAGTTGGGGTCAGGGTAGCCATGGCCACTCAGGTTTGTGTCCATCTCTGTCTTGTGGTGGATCTCGTTCCACACCACCGTGTTGCTCTCACCGGTGGTGCTGGAGGTGCCCACGGTGAAAATCAGGCGTCTCTTCCAGGCCACCCTCAGGAGCTCCAGGACCTAGAAGGAGAAAGGAGGCTTGGGTCATGAAAGCAGCTTGCCAGAAGCTTAACAGCCTGAATCTGCTGTAGCAGAGAGAAACCAAAAGATCCCAGCATCAGGAGGAGGTTTATCCTTCCTAGGTACCCATGTGGTGCCCCTGATGGGAAGGACAGGAGACCTTATCACCATGTACCAGTATATAAAGGGTGGCCACCAAGAAGATGGAGACTCCCTTTTTACAAGAAGTCACATGGAAAAGACCAAGAGTAATGGGTACAAGTTACTCGTGGGGAGATTCTGATTGGACTCCAGAAGAAAAGTTCTCACCAAGAGAACAGTTAGACATTGGAATAGTCTCCCAGGGTGGATTCCTCTGCACTGGACAACTTTAAGACTCAGCTTGACAGGGTGCTGGGCCATCTCATTTAAACTACAGTTTTACCTAGAAAAGTTGGAAAAGATG